TCTTCTAATTATATTTTTCATTCCGCTCTCCCACGTTTAATGCGCATTGCAAATAATGACCCTGATTTTTTACATTCTTTTAATTTTTAATGTAGTCATTTAACCTTCCTATTTAATATTTAAATTTTTCTTTTTCTCTTTATCAAGTTTAAGTTTATTAATGTTTCATTTTTAGTTATTAGATAATTGTAAGTTGTCCAGTTAACTGTCTAATACATATTGTATTTTTTGGGTTATTGCCTGTATAATTTATAATAAATAAATATATGTACGTATAGAACAAAACATGATGATTATTTTATATTCAAATTATCTACCTAATTAGTATAATGGTTTATTGATTAAAAATATTTTCTTATTACTTGTCAAAAAGGGACTACCGATCTAAGTTAATGGGATAAGAGCAGTCATTTCTGAAATGACTGGTGTTACCACATTCTCAATTAACATCTGAAAATGCAAATAAATTTTTAATTTCTTCTTCTTCTGCAGTATTCAATCTAATGATTAGTTTGCAGCAACTTCAATGTTTCTCTATCACTAGCCTTCCTCTTCAACTCTTGACATGAATTACATCCTTGATCTTCTATTATCTGACTTATTGCAATCTTAGTCTTCCTCTATGATTATTTCCATCGATTATTCCTTCTAAAATTAATAATAGCAATCCTTCGTGTCTAAATTATGACCTATTAATTTATTTCGCCTTTTCTGTATACTCTTCCATATTAATTTTCTGTCAGATACCCTTTCTAAAACTTATTCATTAGTAATTCTATCAGTCCAACTTATCTTTTTTATCCTCCTGTAGCACCACATTTCGAGTTCCTCTATTCTTCTCTTGCAATTTTCCAAGTTTCGCATCCATAAAACATGATGCTCCAGATGTATGTTTTTAGTAGATTATTTCTAATATTAAGGTCAATGTTTTTTTAAGTAAAATGACTTCTTTAATTTACCACTTTACGCTTGGGGTAATCTCTTTATAATTTCCTTTATGCATCTCTAATCTGAGCATGTAGTGCTATTCAAATATATGAAATCTTTTAATTGTCCTACAGTTTTATTGTCCTTTAATTGTATTCTTGTTCTTTTGTTATTTTCTCTAGTACATACTAGGACTTTCGTCTTTTTGGGTTTATTTTCATATGTATATATTTTTTCTAAATCTGTAAGAACTAGGTCTTCTTCATCATATAGTGTTTCTATTTATTCCTTCCATCTATCTACAACCTGTTCCTACTCATAAATAATTTCTCCTTTATTTTCTATAGCTCCACATTTGGGTGTATTTCTCTCTTGCCCATTCTCGTCAAAATGTCTATTTCCTCACATTTTTCTTCTGGATATTTTTCTTTTGTTGCTTTTTTGATTTCCTTATTTATTTTCTGATTTCTAATTTAAATAAGTTTTATTCTAATTAGATACCTCGTTCTTATACAAGATAAAGTACTAAAGGAAATTGGAGTTCATTTTCTTTAATAGAAGCAATGTTCAGTGTTAAAAATAAAATAATGAGCATCCGAAAAGCAGCTCAACATTATAATTTACTTTATACAACATTACAGGACAGATTAAAAACTGGCAATATCAAACCAGCCATACCAGGACGACCATCTATTTTCACTTCAGAGCAAGAATAAGAAATGACTAAACATGTTTTTTTTATAAAAAAAAATTATTGATATTCATTGATATAATCAAGTGCTTCCTATTGGTATTTGTTTTCAGTAATTATCTTTGATGACAACTTTTAGTTTGAACTAAAATTCATAATAATAATAATTCAGTGATTTTTTTAAAAATTATTTTATCACTATCTTTTTGCATGTATTTATGTATAGCCAATATTTCCCTGGAGTAGAGGGAATGTCGATCATTTTAATTAAAATATATATATATTTATTAGGGTGACCCTTAGCTACATGAGAGGTTTTTTTTTTTTATATTACAAAGTGCCACCCCCTAGAATTATTTGAATACATGAAAAAATAAATTGTACAAAATTTGGAGACGATTGGACAACTCTAAGATGTGCCCCAAGGGGGTTAAAAATAACCCCTCAAAGGTAATTTTTTAGTTTTTTCTGTCTATCTCAAAAACTTAAGCTTTTGCAAAAAAATCCAAATAAAATTACTATAAAAAGTATATATACAAAAATTGTCGAAAGTTCTTATTTAGCCATAAAAAAATAAAAACGAATATATTCTATTCTTACCGTTAAAATTGTTAATTTATAAATAGTCATTGTAAAAACAAAAAAAAATTAATTTTACTGTTGTTTTTAANAAAAAAAAAAAAAAAAAATAAAAAAACACATCATAGTAAAATTAATACCTTCTCAGCTTCGCATCGAAGCTAAAAAAAAATTCATTTAACCGTTGTTTTTAATTTAATTTTCTATACAATTTTTTCTATTTTTTACTATTCAAAACCTACAATTTTTTTAATTTTAATTAAAATAAATACATCAGAGTAAAATTAATACCGTCTCAGCTTCAAATTGAAGCTAAAATAATATTAATNTTAATTTTCTATACATTTTTAATTCGACATTTTTTCTATTATTTACTATTCAAAACCTACAATTTTTTTAATTTTAATTAAAATAAATACATCAGAGTAAAATCAATACCGTCTCAGCTTCACATTGAAGCTAAAATAATGTTAACTTATAAATTTATATACAATCAGAAACTATTTACAAAAAAAAAACGAACTAATAAAATTTACTACATATTTTAAATAATTTATCTTTTTTAAAATGCTTGGGATAATATGATTGGGATAATAAAATTGAATTTATTAAAATTTTTTAAATTTCCTTAAATATGTCACTATACAAAGGACGTATATACTTATACTTACAGACATTCATACTTGGAGTATATGAGATTAAGTGTTCAATCTATAATAAATTATTTGATTACAAGTTTAAAAATACAACTACAAACCTTTTTTTATAAAGCTAGGCTAAAGGGTAAAATTGCTACATGCAATGTAAAGACCATTCACAATTGTAAGGTGAAAGTTGATTTATGGGAATCGATTACAAATAAAACTACTATATTTAAAAATATATAAATATATTTATTAAAAAAAATCTACTCAAAATATTGGTTACTTTACTTTTTAGTTTGACACTTAATCCATTAAAATTGAAATTTTAACTCCTCCTACTCTGGGTTAATTCATATCTAACGTAATATTTTCATTTTTGGAAATAACACAGTTTGACTTTTCGCCTTACAATTGATCCTCGAGATTCTAAAATATGGTTACATAATGGTAAAACAAGTAAGTTTGGCTCGTTGTATAGGTATATTATACGTATATAATTAATACCTCTATGTACAGGTATAAATCGTACACTTTTGACTCTAACACTTAAATTTTAAAGCAAAAAAAATTAATTTTTTTTTAACCTTAGTTTTAATTTCCAAGGGGATTCTATAGCACTCTACAGTAGGGTGTCCGTTATTTAAAAAATTAAAAAATTATAAAGTGCCACCCCCTAGAATTATTCGAATACATGAAAAAATAAATTGTACAAAATTTGGAGACGATTGGACAACACTAAGATGTGCCCCAAGGGGGTTAAAAATATCCCCCCAAAGGTGATTTTTTAGTTTTTTCTGTCTATCTCAAAAACTTAAGCTTTTGCAAAAAAGTTTATTTGGATTTTTTTGTAGGTATACAATTTTTCTATAAAAAGTATATATACAAAAATTTTCAAAAAGTTCTTATTTAGCCCTAAAAAAGTATAAAACGTATATGTTCTATTCTTACCGTTAAAATTATTAATTTATAAATCGTTCATTGTAAAAACAAAAAAAAAAATTCATTTAACCGTTGTTTTTAATTTAATTTTCTATACATTTTTAATTCGACATTTTTTCTATTATTTACTATTCAAAACCTACAATTTTTTTTATTTTAATTAAAATAAATACATCAGAGTAAAATTAATACCGCCTCAGCTTCAAATTGAGCTAAAATAATGTTAACTTATAAATTTATATACAATCAGAAACTATTTACAAAAAAAAAACGAACTAATAAAATTTACTACATATTTTAAATAATTTATCTATTTTAAAATGCTTGGGATAATGTGCTTTTATTGTAATTAGGAACACAACTCCGGTATTCTGTAACAATCTGTAATAGGTATTGTTTGTGTGCTTCGTCTTTTGTTAAAATATTATTATACTCTTCTATGAGTTTCACGCCCCTCTCTACCAAATCATTTATAACTTTTTAATTATTTACTATTATTTTTCCTCTGATATATTGACTGTTGTCTTTCCACAACAAAGGATTGCTATTTAAAAAATAGTTTCAATGTCATATCTTTCAATCAACTTTTTTGACTCAGTTGAAATAAAAACATTTATACTTTTATTTTTAAAATCATAAATTTCATTTACTCCTACGTTTATTTACTCTATACGTTTGTTTGTATATGGATCTTCTTCACGATTATTTAATGAATTTACCATTTTATTTTTTGTATCTTCACATAAATCATCATCAAAAAATGCCAATGCTGCCATTTTGAATACTAACTACCATAAGTGACCGGAAATTTTTTAAAACTACTTTAGAAATATCATTATCTATTGGTTCATAATCAATTATATTTTTAAATTCATTACAATGCAGACATCACATTTATGAAATGTCTGCATTGTAAGTATAAAATATCACGCCCTAACATTTGCTCCAGTAATATGCAGGCACCTTTAAGTCTACCTGTATTAGAAGGAGTAGTGTCACAGCATAATGATTTAACTTTGTCAGTTAAACCCCATTTTTCAGTGCTGCGTAGACAGCTGCTGCTTGACTTTGTCCCGAACCAGAAGAAGTTTCAGGCACATCGAGCAATTGTTCTACATTATTATTTGACACAATTATTGGTAATATTTCAACTAATTGATATCCTGATAATGAAAGAAGAAGTTTTCCATCCCAATGAATAGTGCATGGACATGCCGATAAATTAAAATTACTGCTTATTTTTTTCATTCGGTTTTCACGGAAACGTTTTCGAAAATTATTAATTGAGGTCTTATTTATAATTAATGCAGATGTATCGAGACCGAACGATTCCGCGGTTGCCATTAATATATGAACAGCGTCTCTGTCGCTTATTCTACACCTATCAAATGCAGCAGCAAGTTTGTCGGTTAAAATATTTTTTCTACCTCTATGTTGGGGAAGATTAGGTTTTTCATTGAATTCTTCGGTATCATCACACTCTCTAGAACTGTTTGAAGATGAATATAACATTTCTGAGTTAACGACATGATCTATAATAATAAATATTGTTGACTTACTACTTTGGAAATATTTTAAGATATTTTTTTAATTACCTAAAACTTCCATTTCATCGTATGCTTTTCTTTTTCTTTGGATTATATTTAAATTTTTATTTTGTTGATTCATTTCACATTTTTCATTGAATTTATCGACACCTAACATACAGCCTGACTTTCCTTTTTCTCTCTGAGCCAATAAAAATTGTTTATCAACTTCAATTGTAATTAAGTTTAAAGCGTCAGAATGAGCGATATCAAATAAGTCATCAAGCTTATTGACAAAGTCCTTTTCATTTCTTGTGTCTGATAATAACTTTCTAGTCGCATGTTTTTGTAATTTTCTCCATTCATTGTATAATGATTCAATTTTTTTAACGGAGTGACATATTTTTTAATAGGTATTTTGGCAAAAAATTTTGATTTCATTGTACACTAATGAAGCACTATCGTGAACATTTAAATTAACCACGCACATGTTATAAAAAAGAACACATAGTACTTGTTTATTTGATGGCAACTTACTGCCGACGATTTGATTTGACATATAACCAATTAAATAAATTTTATTTGTATCACAAAGGTTCATTTTAGATGTTGAAGCCATTTTTTTTAAAAATTATTTAGATCTAAACTTTTTTTAAGTTGTATAATTAGAAACGTAAGTATAAAATATAAGAAAATTGTTGAATATGAAATTCATGAACAACGAACGACAGTTGATCGATTATGATCTAAACTTTTCATCTTAATCTTGGAAAGCTACATTTTAGCTGGCTATATATGTAGGCTCATCTTTTCAAGAATACCAGATAAAAGAAAACAATTAAGTGTTTAAAAATAATAATCAATAACTTTATCTTGAAAATGACTTTTTTATTAGCATAAACAATAAACAACATAAATTTTATGGCTCTAAAAAAACTAAAAAATCACCCTTGGGGGGTTATTTTTAACCCCCTTGGGGCACGTCTTAGAGTTGACCAATCGTCTTCAAATTTTGTACAATTTATTTTTTCATGTATTCGAATAATTCTAAGGGGTGGCACTTTGTAATATTAAAAAAAAAACCTCTCATGTAGCTAAGGGTCACCCTACTTAACACTATATCTATCTATGAAAAAGAGTTTTCATTGTTATCATCAGTATTTAAATAGTATTTTGGTAGTGTTTTCCTGTATTTATATCACTTCTGCATCTATTCCAAAAGTACTGTTCCTGATATTTCACGTTCCTATCAAATACCATTTTAACCAATATTCCAGTATTGATAAATATTTTACCACAAAATACTGGCTCTATAGAATAATTGTCCTGATTTGCATGCGCCCCCATTTTATTAGGTTTATTTAGAAACCCAGCTTCAATAATATTTTTATAAATAATAATATTATTTATATCATAAGTATAATATATGTTTGAGTCTATATATAATATTAACTGACATAAAAAATAATAATAATAACGCTATGTAGATTATAGTATAAATATCCTATCTTTTTAATTCATTATTAAAATACAAAATAATAGCACACTGGGGTCGCAGTACAGTGTAAATGTGGCATAGTTGAGAAAAGTATAGATGATATCTGACAGTGATTAAAATTATTATCATTAGAAACGCTTCGATGCAAATCTATTAAATGTTTAATTTTAAGACATTGGTGGATTATTCCAAAAGCAATATGAACTCCTATTTCCTTATATATATCCTGATTACAAGTTTTATGATTAAGTATGAGCTGAGAAAGTGGTAATGCCGAATTTTACCAATTTCATGTCATTACACAATTAATGTTACTTCCCCTTCTACGGTATTATTAGATAAAAAATTTTAGAACAATATATAATATTTTTCAAATTAATATAGGATTTATGTCAAAAAAATATTTTCAAAAAAAAAAAAGATGTGAATTGGTTGGACCAACCAATAAATAGGGTTAAAGAACCTTTAACCCTATTTTATTAATATGCCAATATTTACACTAATTTCCTAAAAACATCTTCAAATAAGTTTTTATGCAAAAATTTGATACATTTTTTTGAACTCGGCGATTTATACACAAAAATCGTACTTTTTTCTTTAAATTTGATGTCCATTTTCACCACAATAAATCCAGAAAATAATTTTTGTTTTCAAAATTTAGTAAAGTAAAACTTCTATATAACTAAATATCACGAGGAACATAAAAGAATCGTAATATAAAACAATTTGAAAGAGAATTTGTCATAATAACATATTTTTGGGCATTACTCATTTTATATCTTTTATGTTAACAACTTTATGGACTTCATTCAATATTTCCAATCTATCAAAAATTATTAAACAGTTACGTTTCGAATTTTTTTTGTATGTATAGAACAAATTGTGTTTACGACAATATTGCCTGTGTAATTATAAAATAAATATTGAAATTACAGTACTACAGTAAAATTATCCGGCTTCCCTACCAAAACTTATCTTTATCGGATACAATAAAACTTTATGCATTTTCAAACAAAAACTTTAAATCTGATAGTGACAACATTTATAAAAACAGGTTTATATCGAATAGCTTATACATTATACAAAACAAAATTAATGCATGATTAACTGTGAAGGTCAAAGTTCTCAAAAATATTTCGTTAAATAGAAATTTTACTGTTCATTACATAAGAATTAAATTAAGATACATATAAAGGTGTTAGGATTCCGGAAACATTTTGGAAAGTTCTACTTCTTATACGCGTGTTTCAAGATTTGAACTCATAATATAATGGTAAATAGTTCAATTTAAAAAAAAAGTGTGTCGGATATAAATTCTATATAAAATGATATATATTGGTTGATACAGAACCGCAAATAAAATAGGCTGCACCAAAAGTTGAGCTAGTAAGTTGCGTAAAGTCGTTTATTTATTGTAAAACAAGAAAAAAAAACCCTAATACAGTACACTAATGGGTAGGGTTGGGTTTGGTTAATATCATTAATTAATTAATTACAAATACCTATGAAATAACAGAGTTAATAAATTGAAGCGTTAACGTAGTGTCGGTGATGACGGACAATGGACGTGTCGAGCGATATCCAGATAAAACGATGCGTATAAGGCAGTGTCACGAAGATGACTTCAATTGGATGACTATAATTGTAGTGGTCATCCGCCGTGCGACACTTGGTACTGTGTACGTTGGATAGTCAAATTACCAAATACACGTAGTAGGGAAACAGATGGAAAAGAAGACGCTAATCACTACGCTTCGTATATTACAAAAGGACGCAGGAATTAAGTATTAATGAGAAATGAGTCATAAAATCATACATTAATATAATAGAGGATATGTATGATGGCACTTGTAACAGTGCAAGCAGAGTAACAAAAGATTTTAAGGTAAGAGTAGAAGTGTACTAAGGTTCTGCTTTAAGGCCTTATTTGCTATAGTGATGAAATCTATTACGATAAAAATGTAACAAAATCGAACTTTTCTGATAAATATACTGTAAATAGTAATTATAAAATTTCCTGACTGCATATTAATCTTAACAATTTCATTTTTTTCTATTTAATAATGTTAATTTCAAACTTTCAAGTTGAGCTAAAAGTTGTGGTAACAAATTAATTTTTTTTTTTTATTATAAACTTTCACTTTAAAGGATGAAATATAGAAGGTTAAAAATTATTACTTTTAACATATTAAAAATCAATATCAATAATAATTTGAAAACAATTCAATATAACAATTATATAATATAAAGTTTTATAATATTTTTTTGAATCTAAGAATTACAAATCTGGATATAATTAAGGAAATAGTTGATGTTACTTTTGTAATTATACACCAATTTCATAGAATTAAATATTATCTACATATTAGCATCGAAGCGTTTCTTATGATAGTGATTTTAATCACTGTCAGATTAAATCTATACTGGGCCCAACTATGCCACGTCCCCACTGTGCCGCGAAACTACTGTGCTGAATTTTTATACATCAACTACAAAATTTAACTTTAAATAACCAGGAATTGAGGTGAAATTTTGGATTTTTAAATTTTTCTGGGGTATTAAATGTGTTTATTAAAACATTTTATTTTCATACGAAAAATAAAAACATTAATTAGTTAATAATTATATTAAATTAATTAATTTATTAAATATTCACATAAAATAGTATAATGATAATATCCAATATAACCTAAGTACATTTAGTACATATTTTATAAACATTGACTAGATAATTTTGCTTTTAGACTATATAGATTAATATACAACAATAATAAAAGAATCAAAAATAATTTTTAAATATTTTTAAAACAAAACGAATCCATAATGGAACTATTAATTTTTCACAATTTGGTGTATAAATTATAGCTGACTTATAAGAGTCACATTTTTCCATAAAAAATGTTTTTTGAAGTTTCTGATTATCAGTTAGAATAATTATTTGTGATTCTAAGTCACAATTCAGTGATCTTGCGCCTAAAAATATAAAAAAAAATATATATACTTAGAATTATATTTTACTTCAAATTGTTATTAGTAAAATGAATCATATAGTTTTAAATTTCTACAACATAATATCTCAAGTAATTTTTTTTTTGTCTATTGTACTTTAATGATTAGTTATAGCTGAAAATGTATTATGCTATTTAGAAGTTATTAAAATATCTTGAACTGTTAAAAAGTTCATCTAAATCCAACCTAACTTAATAATATAACAAAGTAAGAAAATAGAAAAGATAGAGTAAAGGTTGAGTGTATATTTATTTTGTAGATGATGCATCATGCAGAGAAAAAATTCTTTTTACAATTTCTTTAAAATTTAGTTGAAAATTAATCCATTTAATGTCAATATTTTATTTAAAAATCGTATTTATTTTATACATATTATTTTTATTTATTTTAATTTTAATATTTATATTAATCTCAAGTTCGTATATTACCGCAGTCATTTACATATTTATGTATTAGATTAGTAAATTAATTATTAGTTAGTTAATTAGTAATTTAATAGAATATGTACATTTTCACCAAAAATGCCATATGAAATAAATAAAAAAATTCTAGTGATAGTTTAAGAAAAATTCAAAGAATATAATGATAACAAAAATGTTACAACTGATACTAATAATTTTAAACTTTCCACCTCACCTATCATATACTCGCTTATTATCACTTATATCCTCATTTCATCTACCTCGTGTTCTCTTTTGTCAAACTAGTACTCTATAAACTGTCTTACTACTACTTATTCTTCAAGAGCTGATCTCCACATTTCTGGCTTTTGATTTATTTCCTTGCTATTTTCTCCTATTAACACTATATTGTCAATGAAAAAAATGCACATTGATAAATCTAATTGTATTTCTCTAGTAATTTCATCACTATAGAAAATAGGGCCTTAAAGCAGAACCTTAGTACACTTCTACTTTTACTTTAAAATCTTTTGTTACTCTGCTTACACTGTTACAAGTCCTCTATTATATTAATGTATGATTTTATGACTCATTTCTCATTATTACTTAATTAAAAACCTCTCTCAGTACTCTATAACAAACTTTCTCCAAATCTATAAATACCACACACAGTTTTTTCTTCTATTCCCTATAATTTTCTATTAGTTGTCTTACACAAAAAATTGACTCTATTGTTGACTATCCAGGTAAAAATCCAAACTGATTTTTTGTTACTGATACTATTATTCTTTTGTCTAATACAAAAAAAAAAAAGAACTTCTATTCAGGATATAACTAAGGAAATAGGAATTAATATTGCTTTTAGAATAATCTACCAATTTTTCAATATTAAACTCTATAAACAAATTTGCATCGAATCCAGTGATTTTAATCACTGTCTGATATCATCTATATTTGTCCAACTATGCCTAATTCACACTGGGCTACCATTTTTTATGTTTTATTCACTTCGTAGCTGTAATCATTGTAAGAGTATGGCTGATCAAAAATATTATCAAATAAAAATGAAAGATAATTTTATTAACTTTAAAATAAGTCTAATATAGATTTTTTTACATACATTTTTTTCATTATTTATAATTTATTATTAATTAGAAAACATATACTTTTAACAATAGTAATTAAAAAAGAAATTTCAACAATTGATAATTACATAAAAATTCATAAGTCAGTTAGATATATATATATTAAGGTTGTTCAAAAAACAAAACTTTAGATATTTGATCACATAACTTCTTCACTTTTTTATTTGATATAAAAAACTAACACTGAAAATTTGGACTCAATCAAATGATCATTTCACAAGCCATATTGGGGTTGAAATTTAACCAAAAAGGGTTGTCTATTATTTTTCAAATTTATTTTTAATGAATATTTTTTTTTGGCCGACCCCATGTAATTGAGATTAAGGCGAGGAAGAAGAAGAAGATTTTTAATGAATAGTGTAGCTAGCCTAAACATGTATAGAATAAAAATTGTTTAGTATTAATTTCCAAATAAAAAAACATTCTAATACATTTTTTCTCAAATTTAACATTGAGGGGAAACCTGATTACCCGTGTTCATACACATTTTTAGTAGGTTTTTATTTAATTTTTGTCTAAGTTTTAGTGAATAATTTTTAAAAATAGGTGTATTATATCAAAAGCAAAATTAATTCCTATTTCCTTCATTATTCCTGATTAGTAGTTCTTTAATTTATAATTATAATATATGAATAAATATTTATTATAGCAATTAAAGTATGAGATTGATATTTAACAATTTAGTATTGCAATTTTTACAGAGAAATTATAAAAAATTTTAAAGTAGTTTTTATTACTTTTCTGGCAAACGTGTATAAAAGTTGAGAAGCTTGATTCAAAACTTTTCAGAAAATAATTTGTTATTAATTATAAATAAATGGTTTACAAGGAATTTTGATCAGAGTTATTAATATACTTTTCTTGATCAATTTTTCACGCTTATTTAAAATCTACAATAAGATTTTTTCTACCAATAGTAATTTTTAATATAATTACTATTTAGTTAAAAACTATAGAATATAACTATACAGAATATAGTTCTGATTATTTAAATTATATAATCTATTTTAACACCAAAAGTTACATAGAAATGATTACTATTTATATTAAAATAGTTTATTATAATTTAAATACAAAAATATAATTAGCAAAAATTTTAGGCTTTTATAATAAATTTACTGTTCATAGTAATAATATAAGTTCATGACCAAATATCAATCTAAATAAAACCATATTTCAAATTTTCATAAAATTTTTTATTTATTATATTTTATTTGTCTAAATTTCTAACATTAAGTGATTTTTTTTTGTTATTTTTCTTTAATGTTTCTTCTATTAGTACATAAAATTTATTTATACTACAATATTTTAATCATACAATTGTAATATGTATTTAAATTTAGCAAAGAAATTTACAGTATACTTTTGATAATTTATAAATAAAATTATATATTACCATAATTTGAAGATCCAATAATTGTAAAAATCGGCCATTTATAATTTTTTGGAATGTACCATAAACCTTTAGAATGAAACGTCCAACCAGTTTTTTCATATTCAAAACATTTAATTCGGTTCTCTAAATTATATTTTTGTACTTCTTTATAAAAATTACTAGTTAGCACACTATATGCTGTAGGTATAAAACTGGCAGGTCCTTTAGCTGTTTGGAATGAATTAGCCATAGGATGAGAAAACAGTACATTGATGTTAGCTTTTGATTTCTTAAATAGAGTTTTGATGTAAATATCAGGTAGATTAAAATAACCTGTAGCCAAATTTAATGTTGATTCAGCTTCAGCATGTTCTAAAAATTTCGTTATTATTTCACTATCATTATGTATGCCAAAAGGTGGAAATTCAATTAATGGAAAAACTACAGTATCACTCGATAATTCTGCAAATATATCAAAAAATATATATTTATAAAATATAAATAAGTATTTATGTTTATTACATTTACCTTCACCCGAGCAGATTTTTTTTATATGAGAATTATAATAGTTAAGAAGTAAAAATTTTGCTTCAGATGCAAAACTGTTGTATAGGCTTTTATAAGGATGATATTTCATGGATGAATCCAAACAAAGAGTATTTTCTGATGAAAGATGAAATGAAATCTTGCCTACTAAATCTATTAACCCAGCATAAAAATCAACTAATGGTTTGCTGTCTTTAATGAGTATATATCTGTCTTGCCTGATTATAAAAGCATAAATAAAATATGATTTATAAAATATTTAAACCATTAAGTACCTATTTGTAAAGTAATCTTGACTTAAGTTAGCACCACTAATTAAAATATTATCATCAAAAATATATACTTTCATATGTTGTAATCCTACTAGTTCATTGTAGCGTTCTGCTAAAAGCCATCTTACGATACCTCTTAATTTTGGAGTATGGTACAAAAAAACCTTAAAGAATTATTGAAATATCATATAAAAGACTAGTTTTAAATCATTTTTACCTACACGACAATTATTTGAGGAATTTATTAAAGGTAACAACAAAGTTCTTGAAGAATTTTCTTTACCTCTTGATCCTCTGTTTGCATCCAATAAAATTCTTACACTTAAATCAGGGATTTTATCAAGCATTTTTTTAATTGTATTAATCTATATAATAAATTAAAATAAATAATTAACACAATACAAATAAGACATGAATAGATATTAAATGATTACCAAAAATACTTCTTGTTTGCCGGTACCTATGTATAAAGAAGCAATTACAATACGGGATTTAACATTACTACATTGTTCAATTAAAGTTTGGTAGAATTCAGATGGACTTCTTAACAACTTTATCTTCAAAATTATATAATTTTTATTAAAAAATTTAACAAAAAACTTGACAAATTCAAGAAAAAAATTATTTTATTATAAGTCTTACATTACAAGCATTAACAGGAAAATTAGGAACTGATTTCTTCAACCATTCAAATTTTGGCAAATATTTTTTATCGTCATTTTCAACAGACATTTTTCAAAAATAAAAAAAATAATAGTCAATTCTTGTTTAGTTGGTAAACAAAGTTTGTTTTATTTTAGAAAATAAATTCATAAATTTCAAATGTCAAGTAAATATACTTGAATACTACTTAATACATTATAAAAATATATTAACTACTTTTAAATATTAATATTTAATAACTTTAAAAATTACTTCAAACATAATTAACTATGCCAATATTTCTGGTATGCAACAATAGATTAAATTTAATACACATAGATAAACCACGGCAATCAGACTACTGGAAAACGTTTTTTTTTAATTTATACCAAGAGAGATGGCGCTATATACTCCAAGGAAAAATATTAAATATTTGATAATAACTATCCAGCTTGTTGATATTTATATAATAGCCTTGATTTTCAATGGACGACTGCCATCGCTAGCGACAAATAAGATAAGAACCAGTTATTATTAAAAGACAGTATATTTTTTTATTTAAATGAAATATTTCTTTAACATACGAATTCGGTGAAACATAATGTATTTTCTGTTTTATTAATATTGATTTATTTTTAATATTCCCTGAGCATTGAGAATATTAATAGTTACACAACTTCTATTGATTTGTCCAAAAAATGTTGAAAAATTAAATTACATGTGTTTCTTTCAAATTCTCTCTGTAATTGAGTTTTTCATTAGATTTTCATACAAATCATAACAAAAAAGAACTTATTATCTTTTATATACTCAATTAAAATTTCATTAAGATTATTTTAAAAGTTATGTCATTTTTAAAACGTAGAAAAAAAAGTTGAAAATGCATTTTTTTGAGACCTAAATGCACTTTTCTAAACCTATTTTCACCGATTTTGAGTTTGCTATTAAGTTTTTTTCTTTTTTGAGATTATTACTTATTAGTAAAAAACGACTATTTTTGTATAAAAAAAAATGTTAGCACAGCGGGGTCGTGGCACAGTATGGACGTGGCATAGTTGAGGCAAGTAATTAAAATCACTATCATAAGAAATGCTTCGATGCAAATCTGTAGAAATTTTGTGCTAATTTGTCAATAAATATTTTGAAAACATTAGAAAAAATAATTTTAATTGTCTGTATGGAGAACATGTATAAGTTTAATTATACTGTTTAATTGATAATTTTTTTTTTTTTTAATTTTTGGTGGTAATATCTCTAACTAGATACAAATTGTAATCATTTGACGTATCGTTGAAAAAAGTAGGTCTTGTTAGAGCTGAGAAATTAAATGATAGTAGCAAAAAAACTATATAGTAAAATAATTTTAATATGTATAAGAAAATTCTTCTCACGAGGGGAGACTACAGTGAGGAATCCTTGATGTTTATTGAAGTTATTGAATCTAAATAAGATAAAAATCAAATGAGTTGACACATTATTTTCTAACTCAAAAAAAAATAAGAAAAAAATGCAAAAAATTCCTTTTCTCAAGTGGGTTGGTACTCCGTACTTATAGAGTGATAGACGCATGTAAAACAGACTCAAAAATGTACGTCGCGTACGCCAGATGATAAAAAAGGTAATTTAAACTAATTCAAATTTCAAAGATATTTTTCTCCACTTAAAAGAAGCAAAAAAAATTAAATATGTTTAACTTTCTATGCTATATCATTTTGATTCATATAATATTTATGAAAATCAGTGTATTCCCCTTGTCAGGTATTTTAAATTAAAATAAAATACAAAACCCAAAATTTAAACACAAAAATATCATATTTTTTAATACAGTAGTCATTTTTACCATGAAGATAAATCCAGAAGTCAAATTTTTTTTCAAAATTAAGTATATTACATAAGCTTTAATTTTAGATATATATAAAAGTGTCAGTATTTGCGGAACATTTTCAAAAGTTAATTGTAATTATATATATATATATATAATTTATTTATACCTTATATAGTTGAAACAACTATAAAAAATAGTTTATTTTATTTAGTCCTTCCAATAATATGAATGTATTGTCATTATATAACACCACATAATGCATTAACCATAACTTTTTAATTTTTTTCACGTGTACAATATTGATTGAGCAACTTTTTTCTTTTTAAAAAAGAAAAATATTAATATTAAATTATTATTTTAAATATTTAAACATTTTTACTCTTTTCGTGAACATTCAATCTCTATTAGAAGCGTGAAGAGGTTGACCAGAACCCTTAAACTTTACCAACATTTTCCATTTTCTGTGAAAAATAAAATTCTGAGCACTTGATAAAAATGTTAGTAAGTTGTAAAAGAGCCAATATACCTATTAGCTCCCCTAGATATGTCATTGTCTGCAACTATTAAATTTTGAGCATTTATTACATTGACACAAATGAGGAAGACATAATTTTATTTTTAATTATACATTTAATACTCTTTGAAGTATACATTGTTATTAAATTATGATTTTCACATTGCATTCTATTTAATTTTAATATTATAATAGGTGAATCATAACATCTTAATATTTATACATTTAAATAAAATTAATTAGGTACAACTAAATTTCATTAATATTATTCATCACTCGCGAGCTACTAAATACAACTAAATATAATATTATATATATACTGTACGGATACACTTTGAAATCTTATTAGATCATTTTTTTTCTACTAATAATGGATATTAAAAATGTAATTAAATTGAAACTATCGTAAATAAATATATAAAGCAAAAACATTTTTTCATTTATTAGTATAAGATAATTAGTTTGAATTAATAAGTAAAATCATATTTTTTTTTGTTTATGTTAAATTAAATTTGATTAAATTTATTTTTGCAGAATTGATTAAGAAATCAAATATAAAAAAATATGTTTTTTGAGTAATTACAAAATAATGATCAATATAAACATAATTACATCATCGTTCTACAATTATGTAATATCAATAATGTAACTATTCTTTCTATTTTCAATGATAAAACAAAAAAAAATGAATGCATAATAGCAAACTTTGAGAAAGAGGCTTAGTCTAAAGAAATATCAATCTTAAGTTAAAATTTTTATTTGTATTGTGTTTATGTCGCTCACTCTTTTCAACGATATCATATTTTAGAAACCTTAATTTTTCAGGAGTAATTTGAAAAATTAAAAATATATGAAAAAGAAAAATATGATCTTAAGCAGCTAAATATTGAGTTTTACTAATCTTTTAAGGCATTTTCATAACAAGTATAATTAAAAAATATCATATTATGGTGTGAGCGATATGTCTTCGGGACATTTTACATTGTTAGACAATTTTAGCCACCTAAAAGTTTTAAAAAATGTCTGCCTACGTGAATACGTATTTATAGATATCATATCTGTCTAATAACCTAAGAAATCTAATCATTATTTTTAAATCATTATATTATCATATCCTTTTTAAAAAAATGTTAGTTTGTTGTTAAATTAAGGAATTTTTCATCATATTTATTACGTCATTTAAGTTAGTTCTAATGATTTTTATTCAATATTTACACGTAAAACGTGTTTAAAACTTCCAAATTAGAAATTTATTACCGACTAAAAAAATATCTTATGATAAATTATGATTTTTAAAAGCCTTAGTTTTTTGTTTTTGAGATTCGTTTTTATTGGTTCCGTGTTTAACATAGTCAACAACTAGTTCTAATCCAATTAATGCTGTTAAATCTTCACAGTCTTTTTTGTCACTTTTTTCAGTTTTTGACGTTTCTAAACCTGTAGATTCATCTCCTTCCACGTCTATAATATTTTCTTCTTCTGGTGCTACTTGCTTATAAATTTTTGTTAAATTTTCCATTAGATAATTTGTTCCCTGTTTGTTATTAGTTTTTTCGTGGTCTTCTATGTTAGAAGATTCGGGAACTCTAAAAGCCGAATAATGTCTATCTTGTTTTATTGAATCTGAACGAATCTGCAAGTTTAATGGTTCCGTTTCAAGAGATTTAAAATATAATGGAGGATATGAAGGCTGATAAAAACTTGGATACCACAAGGGGATTTGTGATTCTGATAGAGTCTGAGGAGTATTTGCAAATTCAACTTTATTTTTTTTATGTTCGACTAATGAGGGTTCTAATTTACTATTATCTTTCCAATTTCGTTTTCTTCCTTTTTTGTTTAAAGGTAATGACGTACATGATTTTGCTTGAACAAACCGCTTTAGCATTTCACTGAAATAAAATCCTGATGGTACAAAAGTGGAATTTGTTTGATAAGGCGGAGTTGCGGCTAATAATCGATTTATCAAATCACTGTTTCTACAGTCAGCTGGCACATCTTTTATTGTACCGGACATAATCTAAAAATATTATTTGAGTTAATAAAATATTAAATAGTAGAAAATAAAACTAAAAATTAGTTTTTAATTTCTAATTGTTTTTTTTGGTGAAACTAACCCCTCATTAAAAAATTATACAACTATGAATAACTTTCATTATTTTACGAAAAAATAATATTTTTTTAAACATTGTTTTGATAATAATTCAGTTTAATATTTTTTATTATAAAAATTAATATCTTCTAGTTAATTGACAGTTCTCATAAAACTTTATAGGTCTCATAACTTCATTTAAGAGAAAAATATTGTCGAAGGGAGGACATGGGCCTCTCTAGATTTACTCCTTGACTAGACCATAAGATCAATTTGATTAATATTTCATATTATAATTATAATATGAAATATTATTAAAAAGTTCTTATAATTTTTGATTACGTATTGCTATAATATATATATTTTAAAGAGTCAAGTATAGTTGGGATCCAGCATAGTGATATATGATATTTATAAAATAAATATTATAATTTGCATTTTAATGACAAATAGTTCCTAGAAATCGTAATTTTGGATAATTTTTCTTTTTTCATTTTAAAATAGCTCTAATTTAATGTAGTTGAAAGAAGGCAGATTTTTTTGGAACATAATTTAAAATTGAACAAATCAAGGAAAATTAATTAATTTTTTACTGGATAATAAATTATATTTATAAAATAATAAAAACAATTTTTCGACTCTATGATGTCGCCCCTTGAAAAATTTGTCTAAATACTGTATTTTTATTATATACAACGCAAAATTATTACAAATATACATAAAATTAATTCCACTGAAATTACTGCTGAAAAATGGTAAATTACTAAAATTTGATTTGAACACAGCAATGTCACATAAAAAAGTAATTGGTATATTGCGGAATGATTGTAATATACAATGAAATATATACGAGTGTAGTAAACTTTAACCCCAAAGCTCATTAGTCATCATCACCCTCGACAATAATCAAGACAACATATATATTCTACAATTATATTAGAAATTATTATACTGACAATTATATTAATTACATAGTAATTTAAAATATTATTAAGTTATTATAATTCATACCACGTATACCCATTTATTAAAATTATATTCTTGACAATTTAACTTATGGATTGAGTCTTATAGTAAACATTATTGTTTATCTCTCGTGTGTATTTATATTATTACTTTGAATACACTATGTTTATTGAATATACTAGTACAGCTATTTTGTATAATAAAATTGGCATAGCAGTATAAATTTATGCTAGTATATTATTCATCTTAACAAACATAAATTTTTATTTTGAATATTTAAGAAAATTGGTAATACTTTTAATATATTATTTAGACTATAAAACTGAATTCTTATTAAGATGTTCTAGGTTTTGTTTAATTATTTAGAAATAAATATATGGCGCATTTTTTAATTCTAGTCAGAATTCATAAATCTTAAAAAAAAGAATCCCTAATATTTTTTTTTATATATTGCGGTCATATAAAATTGTAATAAAATATTTTAGAATTTCTAATATATATTCATTAAAAAAAAAGTGTGCGGAAAAATAAATGAAGTATATAATTTATTGACTTTGATTTCTTTTAAATTTGGTAACCGATTTTAAAATAGCGAGAATATCGGAAACAAAAGACTTGCAAAAGACAAAATGGGCCCTGATAATGCACATTATGAACAGTTGACAACCGGACAGACAATGAGAAATAATATTCTCTAGCATGGTGAGAATAATTCAATTACAACGAACAAATGGAATATTCGAACCCAATTTGCAATATAACCACATCAGACCCCTCATGTATTTCTCATTTATACTTCATATTTCTCGCATATTCTATTGTCCTCGTATATAATACGCGTAACACATTTCTGTGAACTATTTTGGAGTTAAATACTCATTCCCACTTGATAAATTCTAATTAAAATTCTTATATTTAGTTTGTACTAAAAAATCTCTTTATACTAAATTTACATATCATTATTACGATAATATAGTATATCGTTACGTGAAAACCAAAAGGTTCTATCATGTATGAAAATTGTGTAGATGATAGAACCATTTAGTTTTCATACCACGATATTACAAAAGGTAATTACATACTTGATTATAAGTATTTTTCAAAATATCTTGTTTTACAACCATTATACCTTAAGTATTAAGAAAATTATTTTATGGCAATATACCTAGCCCAAAACACAACCTGCAGAATATTATTCTTATTGTGTAGAAAAAATAAAGTATTAAAATATACATTCCTATTGTATTCGAAAAATAATATATACCTAAATTAAACTTTTATATTTCTAAGCACAATAATATTCTGATTAGGATTTTTAAATGTTAAAAAAGATCGAGCAAAGTTAATATGCTCGGAAGCAGAAATATTTATTATAGTTTGTTATAAAACTACTCTAAATTTTATAAAGTACAGCGAATTATCTCAATTTTTAATCACAAATCATAAAATTAAATTCATATACATTTGTAGTGACTAGTAATTATTTTGTTTAAAAATTGTTCAATTTGCCCTTTTACTTGGGCAAAATAGAAAAAAATAATTAAAATATAGAAGGTGATTCTTTTAAAGTTAAGCAATCAATTTCTTTTAATATAATAATGTTCAGAAAACTTTCTGACTTTTTTAGTTTTATATATTTATCTATTTATTAATCATTAAGTACTTTTTAAGTCGTTTATTCCTTGTAAGGATACCAACTTTGTTGTTTAAATAGCAACATACATATTTAAGTAACTTATAAAAAAATTAGTGTATTGTAGAAAATGACTCGTTCATAACAACTTTTAAACAAGTAACTCAGAATTTGTTAACATTTTTATACCAAAGTGGAAATGTATATACAAATCTAATAAAAATATTAAAAAATTGTCTTGAATTCATAGAATAATTATTTTTAAAAACAAGACGTTGAAGAGTTTATGTTTATCCTGTCAACATATTTGAATAAATAAACGTTATTCAAAATAATGCATTTTCATTTAACATAAATAATTTACTAGTTTTTAGTAATCAGGGTAAATATAAACATATTTAAATTGTAATCAGTAATGAAAAAAACCCATTTTATTAAACAATGAACACTATGAAAAAGAGTCTCTTGGGAATGGCAAACTGCCGAATATAATAGTAAAGACACCCTAGGAACAAAAGATCCTACCCTAGTACAAACAATAGCACTGTTCGCTATTGAGGGTTGTTAGTGGTCAAATATAATACGGTCTTATTGAAGTCAATGTCGTTTTCAAATTAGACAGAACTCCATTCAATTGAAATTTTCCTCATAAATCTTTATTTAAAGTGAACGTTCTGTACAAAAATTCAGGTTATAATTCATTTTTTTATACACAATCAATACAATTTTTTAACTCAGTGATATTTTTTACATATCTTATGTATTTTAAAAAGAAATATTAACATTCTTATCCACCAAAAACTGTTGCAATTAGTGTTTACGATATGTTTTCAACCCAGTCACGAGAAACTGTACGTCAAAATGTTGACAATTTTCTTATTGTTAGACACTATTAGAAAAAATTAGTTTATGCAGGATGGCTCTATAGGAAGTTGTTATATTATTAGTTCTCTCTTTCAACAATACATTGAAGCGGATACAGTATTATTATTAATTGGGAAATGAGTAACTTTTCAATATAGAAATATCTGTCAATTTTTATAATTAATCAGCAAGAAAACTTTATGCACCTTATTTCTTGTAATATTTCTTTGCATTTAAAATATTTTATCCAAAGAGTCAGTATGAATTAACGTTAAATAGAAAACTGTAAAGAATTAAAAGTTGGTTAATTTGTAACTTGCATCTACCCATCTTCAATATTTTTCGCTGATGCTAATTACTCTGAAAGAGACACAAACTTTAATACTCTTTGAAATTCGTATCGTGTACCACTGCCGATTTAATTACAAGATGGTTGTTTAATGCCCCCTACCTTTTCAACAAACTAATTAAAACGCTTGAGACCCGAACAAACACTATTTTCTTTTGCTTGTCTCGTTTTTCTTTCCTCAGATCTTCTTATTTAATGCGTCACAATATCATCACAGTGACACTTCTGTACCACGTAAAATATAAATCTGTAACAAATTGAAATATCCTTAAATATAAAATTATAATGTACAATTTACCATAGCGGTAATTAAATATATAATGATTTTAGTCGTTATTTTAATTGACAATGGATTATAAGCCATAACATTTGTCAACAAAAAAATTTTATTATTCGTTTTATTATTATTTTTGTAATTAATTTATTTGTTCCGATTGGTAATCCATTTTTGAGTTGTTTAATTAATGCATTATCGTCAGAAATTCTTATGACCATTTAATAAGAAATTTGTAAACACGCTTTAAAGTTGGGTAGACCATTAAGATGATATAAATGCTTATAAGGTTTCTTTAGCTGTCATAGACTTGAAATTTGTTATTATGCGGTACATAAAATTTGAAACCTTCTTAAGTTTTTTATTTTTAATAGTGTATTACACCTATTTAAAGTTTTTGATATAATTCAATTTATATAAAATTTCCATGTTTATAAACTTATAGTGTTGACCTAGAGTAGTACAAATCTAAAGCCTTTCGATTTTCAATAAAATTTTTTTGTCATTTTAATAGAATTTTCACTGTATAACAATGATAATAAAATATATTAAAATAATAATAATTAAACAACAAATTAGTATCAAGACATTTATTTAAAAAAATCAAAACTTTTGTCATAAATCAACAAACTTTTTGTTTGGAAATAATAAATGGTCGGTTTTGTGAGTTAAACTTTTCTTTAATAGAAAAAAGGTGTATTTAGTAACTAATTCACAACGGTAAAATCATTTTGAACAAAATTTTTATAAAATATTTTTAATTTTTATGAAATAAAACATTTAAAATGGTGTTAACATATTCGTAGTCTTTACATTGCATCCCTAAGTATAATCTTTATTGAATGATAAATATTTATTGATCATATTTAACTAAAATTATTATGAACAAAGATTCCCAAAAAAATGTACATTTTTTAAAGGTTTCTTTTTAAAATTATTTTATTTATCATAAATTCCAAAGATAATATTTAATTCATTATATTTAAGTTAAAATGTCTTTTTTTGTATTGGAGTATTTACGGTTGGATTGTTAAACGATCATAACTGATCTTTGTATTTTCAAGAAATATAAAATGAATGTTATTGAGGACAAGCTGTACATCTACTCTGGTGACGTATTTTAATTTCAATATCTCAATATAAAAAAATCTTATTATTTGAGTGCTTTAATGCGTAAAAAATACGAACTTAAAAAAGATGAAAAAATCTGCTCAGAATAAATTAAGACGATATTTCTCGTTGTGTTTTCACACCAGACACCTTCATTACAAGAGCAAACAGAGAGGAAAAGTAAAAAAAAATAAAACACTTTTATTCAGCTACCCATCAGTAAGAAGAGTGGGAAGGAAAGAGATGCAAAAATGCACCGGCTGTATAATTTACATAAATTGGACGGGTGTCCCTCAACGGGACCTAAAAATCGGCAGAGATTAATGGCGTCATTTTTGAATTGCGTACAGGAAAAAAATCATTTATTTTTATTAATATTGATGATCATCAATGTAGCTAAAAGACTTTTGAATAATTTAATCGTCACCTGAATGGATAAACATAATGCCTAAAGGTAATTAAATATAATTAACGATGTAAAAAAACTTGATTGAAACTTGATTTTTGCAGTCAGTTGGATTAAATATAGTTAGTTCAACCATAATATCTAGTTGGAATTATTAAATAAAATTCAGTTAACCAATGGCGTTCTCAGAGTTTTATCTTGAGTAGGATTGCATAAGAATTTATTTAAATTATATCTTTTATTATATATTTATTTTCATAAGGAGGTTCTATCTATCATACTCCCTACCGCAATAACGATCATGTAATTAACTATTTTTATAGTTGGTTCAATTAACTATGATATTGTTCTCCTAACTGCAAAATTATTGGTTTACTATATTAATTATATATAATTATTTTTACTATAATTTTTGATTATGCTATTCTTATATTATTTTCATTGCAGTTTTTAATTAATTAATAATTTTTAAAAATTAAACCTCAAAACTATTTTTAGAAATAATTTTTTTTTATAAAATACTTAATTTTTATCATGGTTATGTAAAGAAATAATAGTTAATAATTCTAAATTATTTTAAAAAAATATGAATAAACGAAAAAATAAAGAGTGTATTTTTAATAAAACACATTACATATGGGCTATATCTAATTCAAAATAATACTTTTAATCTAGGCTACATAGCCAAGTCGGAAACACGTCCTTCGATGCGTAGGTACTAGGTTTCGATTTTGTTGTGATGATTTTTGTAGGTTTTTCCGTCCTTTTTATTACAACTAGCATAGTGTTTTAGAGAGAACGTTAGAAATAAATAGAGTAATAATAATAATAATAATAATAATAATCTTATTATTATAATTATAAAAATAAATTGTTAATAACTTGTAATTAATTTATTATTATTTTAATGTAGGTTCACGAGATCATTAGATTTCGAATTACTGAAACTAAATGTAATAGCATATAAATTTTTAATGTATTTTAACATGCACTATAAGGGTTAGTTCGTCATAGCAGTCAAATTTTAGACAAACAGAAACACCATACCATTTGTGATAAAATAAAATAACCAAAGGTATGTAGTAAATTCTGTTTTAAAAGATAAATATTTTAAAATAAGAATAATAAAAATAAAAATTAGAACAAATTTATCTTGTTCATTTTACTCACATAATAGCATATTTATAGTTTTAAATGACTCAGTATACTGAAAAAATTATTCTTAATATTAGAATACTTAAAAGAATTTTTGCTACCATAAGAAGTTAAAAAAACATTGAATTTACTATTATATTTCTTTATCATATATTAATAGAATAGCCAGGAATTTTTAATAAAGGTTCCTCTTAGAGAATTTTTTGATTTGGATTTCTCCATCCAAGTCAAAAAATTCTCTCACTGAACCATAATTAGCTTTCTTTTTGCTCATCGTTTCATCTTCAAAATGATATTATAGTCAATGGTGAAACATTGGCCCTGTGGATATTCCTTTGTTGTCAAATCTATTTATAAATAGGCTTGAAAAATAATTAACTGTTTTCGTTTAATTAGACCTCCTGTCCTTTAAACAAGATACGCATTGAAATTTTATTCTCACTAACTTAATGCCAAAAATAATTATGGAGTTTTCAAATATTACTAAAATATCTTAATGAATTTATTTATAAAGTTGAAGACAATGATTAGAACAATTTTATTAGTTTCTTATTATTTAATCTATTTAATTTTGTCTTATACTATACATTAAATATTTACTAAAATTTGTTATAATTTTAAGTAGGAATTCAAATTTTAAACCTCTAAATATGACATTGGTAAAAGCTCTTTTTAAGGAATATTTTTAAGATTAGCAAGTTTCATTAAGAGAGTTATAAATTAATTATTTTAGGATGTTATATTTTCTATCGATAATTTAAATGTCAATATAATTTAATTTTAAATTGGTAATTTTGCCTTTGTTTTGTTCTTAACATAAAAAATATATTAAAAAAAAAATCGTCGATACACAAAAGAAATCATTTATTATGTATTCACAGCCTTATCCTAGAAAATAACTCTTAATAAATCCTAGAAAAATTGTGTTTTTAATACATCTATGTTAGAATAAGTATATATATTTACATATTTAGGAACATACTTAAACTAAATTATTAAAATTTATACTTTTACATACTTTACTATATTTACGTTGATGCTTGAAATTCTTATAAGATCAAAAATTCTCTATACCTTTTGAAAGTTATTGTACATATAATAAAAAATATTAACTGTTAAATTTGAATTCCTTTAAAGCTTTTATACTTAATAAAGTGGGTTAAAATTATTAATTAAATAAATATATATCTCTACTCTTTAAGTACTAAAGATTTTGTAAGCATGCAGATATGAGTAACAACCGCAACGGTTTGACGAGATCTGTGGTGACGTAAGTCGAGGAAAACTATAGAAGTCCATTTGTTTGCGTGCGTGGTGTATGAATAATGCGCTTTAAATTGAACACCCAGTCCCGCCTACAGGACGTCCTTTTCCACCCCTTGTACTTGGTTACCTCTTGAGCCATCTTCTGTGTAATATATTTAGATCACCCTTCCTCAATTGACAAAACAATCATTTTTATTCGCTAACATTTAACAGCTATGTAATATAAGTTGCATTTAAATTTAACAAAAAGTCATATGCATAAACACACAAAACATTATGTCATCAACATAGACATAAATATGTATATATATGGTACAAGTACCGCACAGACTAAAACTCTATGCATATTATAAACAAGTATACACTTAATGTCCAAGGGCATAATATTCAATTGCTTTATTGTGGACACATATTTTACGCTTTATAGTTACCATTATTTCAAATATATTAAGTCTTACAGACATAAAATTTTTCAAGATTAAAACGGAGACTATTTTTATTATTCCTACAAGCAATGGTGTACTCTTTGATGTAACTATCAGGGAACAATATTCTACAGTAGAGTAAAGTGTACAAAAATTGTCTCAATTTCAACTATTTCATCAATAAAAAACCAAATCCAGCATAATGGGGACGTGGCATAGATGGGTCTAATATAGATTTAATCTGACAGTGATTAAAATCACTATCATAAGAAACGCTTCGATGCATATCTGTAGATAATGTTTAATTAAAAAAAATTAGTGGATTATTCCAAAAGCAACATGATATCATATTTTCTTATTTATATTCTGATTTATAAGTGTAATATATCAATATCTATATAATTATATTAAATATAAATATATAAAGGGAAATGGATTTATTAAAAAAAAAAAAGTATGACGAATGAAAGAGGTATAAATAGTATTTATAAAAACAAATTATATTGATTCATATATTTTTCAAAGAGTTATAGAATTATAAAATTAAAAGTATAAAAAAGAATTTTTTTAAGAAAGTCTTATTTTTTATTAAATTTGATGTTAGTTTTCACCATGAAGACAAAATAAAGTCGACATTTTTTTTTCCATAATAAAGTATATTACATAAGCTTTAATTTAAGGTATATATAAAAGTGTCAGTATTACCATTATTTTTTCAAAAGTTAATTTTTTGTGAAAAAGTTGTCATTTTGAATCCTTTCTTGTGGGCAGTTAAGTGTCAGATTATAAAAAATATATACCAAATGATAGTTAAAGACATCAAGCATCTATAAAAAAAAAATTATATTGATTTGTTCATTTTTGAACAAAAATTTTAAAAAAATTGAAAAAATGTTGAAAATAAGCAATTTTTAAATTTGTAATTTTTTTGGAGGTTTCCCCCATTTACATGGAACGAGGAAAATTTTTTCAATTTTTGAGGGTAATTTCTTCGACTAGATACAATTAGTGATCTTTTAACGTATTTTTTTATCAAAATCAGTCCAGTGAGAGCTGAGAAAAAGTGGTAACAGACACAAAAAAAAAACATATCATAAAAAAATAATACCTTCTCAGCTTCATATCGAAGCTAAAAAAATAATATGATTACTTAAACATGTATAATAGATAATAAAAATAGATAATTGAATGCTGCTTTTTGAATAATCTACCAATTTTTTAGAATTAAACACTATCTACAGATTTGTATCGAAGCGTTTTTTAGGATAATTATTCTAATTACTGTCAGATACAATCTATACTGGACCCAACTATGCTATGTCGCCACTGTGCTGGGTTTTTTTTTGTGTTTGTTACCACTTTTTTTCAGCTCTCACCGAATCGATTTCTTTCAACAATATGTTTAAAAGATCATAAATTGTATCTAGTCAAAGACATTACTCTCATAATTGAAAAATTTTCTGTCGTTCCTTGTAAATAAGGGAAATACCAAAAAATATTACAATTTGCTAAATCGATAATTATATATCAGTATGTTATTAATTAATAGTTATACAATATATTACCTAAACATCATCCGATTTTGTTATCACCAAATTATCTAGTAAAAGATAAGTATTAGTGGCGAAATACACACACAAAATATAAATACCTTTTTATGTTTGCATCGGATAAATATATTCGTCTATCAAAAATTATAAAAAATCTTACTGTTTCTATACAAAATGATATTATTAATTGAATCGCTTATTTGAGATAAACACAAATTACAGTTTTGACTGTATCGACTATATAAATCTTCAATCGCAACAAATTGTTAAATTATTTATTTACCCAACTTATTCATTTTTGATATTTTGATAAAATATCCCCTTGTTCAAGAGATATAAACTTACAAAATAAAATATTAAGTCTTCAAAAATGCTTCAATAACAAAATACATCCTGAACCTTCACCTATTGAAAACACTTGAAATACAATAATCTATATTTTACGAAATTCTTTTAATTTGAATGTAATATAATAAGTAAATTAATTTATAAACAATATAAGTGTTTGTGAATTGATTTTCCAAAAACTTTTGTAGATGGTTTTTTGCATTATACTTATAGAATTTTATTAAAATCTTAACAAAATTATCACAAACGTTAGTTTTTACATATTTGATTACTCTGGTGTTAGAAAGAATATATTGACATTCAACCCTCATGATAAATACGTGTCTTCAAAAGTCACTTAAAAAACTATTGTTCTCGGAAGTCACTAGTTTAGTATGCGTCATCCACATGTTTAATGGTGAACTTTCTAGAACATTTATTAATGAAAAAAAAAATGAATTAAAAAAATACAATAATTATACCTCTTGTTGCGTTCAATAAATATTAAATAATTTTAAGTTTTAAAAATAAATTAAAATGATCATAACAGGAAATTACTTTACTGCGTGTATAATAAGCTCAACATATTATATATTAAAAAAAAAAATTCTATTTCAAAGTTCGAAATAATCAAGAATCTAAGTTATAATTTGTTGAAATAAATAAAATGTTAATTTAATTAATCTTATAATATCTAATGTAGTTCGGAACTTTTTATAGTGGAAACTATTCTCACTTGTTGTGTCCGCGTACATTCGAAATGGAACAATCCGCCTAAGTTTTGTTCAGGACTCCTCATATATTTGACAAAAATTTTACGCCGGCTGTCGACCTAACGCAACCTCATTATATGCCTCTTACGACTGGCAGAAGGGCCGTGGAAGTATTTTTACCCCTATCCACAGGGAGATTTTATAGTGGAAACCATTACGGATTAAAATTAGATAGTGATAAAAATAATTCTCTTAACATACTTGAATGATAATTTTTTTCACATATAACTTTCTTCATTATGATCAAGACTATCCGAGCCATATATCAAATAATAAATGAATGCATAACAAATTGGCAAAATTTGTAGAAAATGTTCGTTAACATTTGCTAACATAAATAAATAAGTTAAAGAGTTCAGAAATGTGCATTTATATGGAGCGAAATGAGCTGCCACAATTATTGAGTCCTCAGACCGTTAGCCCCTATGTGTACTATAAAAAAGATCATAGGTATTTTTTAATAATAAATATTGCTGGTAGCTATAGTGTTATAACATTATTTTCACTATATTTTTGATGAATTCTTTATAATACCCAGTAAAAGAATGCTAAGAACATGTAAATATTTCCAGAAAATAAATCAAAAAGTGTTAAGACATTTAATTTCATTATTTTACACAAAATTATTTTATTTTTTCTATAGAAAATAATATGCGCTGTTAACCCAAATAAATCAATAATATTTCTAATATACACTTAAAATATGCAAAAACATGCAACATAATACTTCAGTTTTATTAGTGATGTTACGAAACAGATAACATCTTAATTATAATATTTTCCTACAAAGTAAAAAAACTTCCAAATGCAAAACGTACGAGACCCAATTATGACCAACAGTAGACAATACTTAAACAAAAAAAAAAAGAAAATTGGAGAATAATATTAATGTAATTATAAGACTTATTTAAACAATAAATTTTTTTCATTATGAAATAAAATTATAGTAAAATCTAAATGGAAATAATTTTTAACTGTAGAACGTCAAATAAGATTTTAGCAATTTTGTTACTAATTGACTAATTGAATTTCGGCGTTTGAAATATAAGTTCAGATCCCCTTTTATGGTTCATTGGACATTGCTACCAAGGATATTAATGCCTCATGTAATATATTATATTGTTAAATAGCAAATAAAAATGCAATGATTCTTTTGAAAGTAGGAGTGAAGTTTATGAACTATAGAAAGACTTTGTAGATATCACTACATTGATAGGTGGAATATTTTTGGAGGGAGGCTATTTATCATAATTAAATTTTTGTTGGAGAAATGTATTTCTAGATAATATTGTTGCAATATTCAAGATAATCAGTTTATTATAAACTACTCAATGACTCACAAAATAAATACAAAATAAAAATGGGGACATAGTATTATTAGGAAAACTATAAATGATATCGGACAGTGATTATAATCACTTAAAATAATTATATTATAATAACTATGGTCAGTGGGTAATACCGGTCATCTCATTATCCAATAAACCCATGCATCTAAAATTATGTTGACCATACGTATAGATTAAGAATGATAAAAAAACCTTATTCTTATCAGAACGATTTTATCAAAAAATTTTTTCATGTTTAAATGTGTGATAATAGTTTTCAGCGTTTATTTATCTAAAAAAAAAAAATGTTTAAGAAATTTAATTTAATTTTAGCAAATTATTATATATTTTTAATTTATATAAATTGCTGTTTTACAGCATGCTAAAATACTCCTTTTTGCAGATGACTTCAAATTATTTATGCATGTTACTAATAGTTCCGATGTTATTTTACTTCAAACTGATCTAGATCGCTTAGTTAGTTGGGCTGAATCAATTGGCTTGACTTTTAATACCTCTAAATGTTATAAAATGACTTTCACGTATTTATAATCCTATATCTTCAACTTACTATATTCATAACAATCTTATTTCTTCTGTTCCTTCTATAGTTGACCATGGGTTTCGTCTCACTCCTACTGTAAATTTTCGACTTCATATTGAAGAAGTATGTTCTAAGGCTCTGAAAACTTTGGGTTTCATTCAGAGAATATCTCATG